TTGGCTTTGCTAAATCATTTTACTGGTTGGCAGGGCACCTGGTGTTCTTGTGCCCACTTCCGATGGTGTTTGATCCACTTGGCAGTGATGTTCACAGGCCTCAATGCACAATACTGCCAAGTGGGTCGGCCATGCACATTTTTTAGTAACAGTACAGTAACAGTAAGTAGGTTAAACCAGTTTGTTGAAGTTACTGCATGATATACCTTCTAAAATTGAATGGAAGCCCTGTTTTACCAAGGTGCTTCTGAGCATGCTCATGGTGCAGCTTCCGGCGGCTCTGCTGATCTTCACGAACAGTAGCATGGGAGTTTGGCAATAAAAGAGATGACCTGAGCAAAAGGAATAAGGGAAGAATAGGGGAAACCAACTCTCAAATTGATCAATCCTCAGTCAGGACAAAGTACAGTTACTACAGTTACAGACAAGTTACCATGTGAATTCTGGATCACAGGACATGCCCACATTGCCAGCAATCTCATCCCAAAAGTTTGAGAATAGCTCTGAATCCAAGAGCCCTTCCTTCAGGCAATCACGTCTCACCATAATGATGAAAAGCCGTTTTCTGCTAATTGGTGCCCCATATGCGCACCTTGGCTGATGTTGCATGTAATGAGGTTGTACCCAAATTGCCCAAAGCAAAAACCTGCCAAACTCCCTGTTGCCAGTGCCATTGCCACCAAGTGTCGGGTTCACGCATTTCACGAGTATGAAATACCTCAGCTGGAATTTGATCAAGGTACCCGGAGATGAATACATGTGTGGGTTTCTATTAATCAAGGTACCCGGAGACATTCCGCTCAATCAGTGCCACAATTCTCGATACATATTTGGCCAGGCCCATAACATTTTCCAGGATGGCAACCTGAGTTGCAAGAACAGAAATCAAAGTCTTTTTTTGCATATTAATGTCCATTATGTTCTCAGACACCTTGAATCATTTAAAAAGTCAAGTAACACATGGTCGCGTTGAGCGTATGTTGCGCACAGTTTGGAAGAGTGGCTTGCTGTTCTTATCCTGGAATGCCCTTGAATGATTATTCAAAATACTCCAAGGCTTGCAAGGAAAGCCCACCACATATAGGCTGACCTGGCACAGTGGCACTGGGAATTGGTTTCACTATGTAAAAAAGAATCATGCTCAGCTTGGAGTTGTATTTCCCTGCCTGTCCCCGCAACCAAGCCACTCGCTTGGTCAAGATGTCATTTCCAAACCTTGGGTGATAGTAAAGGGATTAATGTGGTTTTATCTCTCAATGAAGTTGTTTGTTGCTTTTCCAGGTACACATTCCTCTTATATGCCCAGAAGCTGTTCACATTCTGGAAAATTACGTCGAAGAAAATCACGGCAGACCGGGTTGCTCTCAGAACATGTCCTCAGCTGATCTCTAGAAATGGGAGAGGACAGGTCACTTGAAAATTGGGGGTATGTCCATAATTATACATACATAATTATGTCATACCCAATATATACACAATGCAATTCAAATTTATATTATATAGATATATATGTTTTATTATAGTATATTTTATTATATTGTATTATATTGCATTATATTATATATATAATATATATTATAATATTATTATATCATTACAGTACATTATATTATATTGTATTATATTATTATATTTATATTTATTATATATGTATTATAAGACATATTTATATAATATATATATAAATATGATATATTTACAATATATTTTACACCCACGTATATAAGTGTATGTATTCAGGAGAGTGGCGCATAGCGCAAGAGATTCTCACTGCCAGCTGCAGCAAAAAGCATCTTCAGAGCCATGTAGGGCGCGTCCACCCCACTACCTTAAATGGAGAAGGCCAAAATTTGAAGAATGGAATAAAGTGATGGGTGGCTCTTAGATAAAGACCAGGTGCAGTCACTGGCATATGTGAACTCATCCATCAGGCCAGTGAACCAAGTCCCAAGTCCTCAGCTGGGATGGCTTGGAAGAAAACCAGGACATCAGGGAAGTCAACTAGTTTTCAGGTGCGACCAAAAGTCCAAAAAGGGCAAAAAAAAGTGGGCCGATCTCCGTGTACTTCATCTGGTTGTCAGTCATCCCTGCAAACTCCTGACAAAATGGCATAGACATGGAATTATATGGCATTTCTACTCGGTTCCCAAGTACTGTAATCACTGCTTCACTATTATGGTTTGTCCTCACCAGCGGCTGATGAGGAAGATGATGAAGAGGAACAACGCCACCCCACCATTGCTGACCGATCCAAGTCAAGGTTGCTAAAATCCCTTAAAGTGGTTGAGAACTTTGTGCTCAGGTTGTCAAAGTCTAAAAGGTTGTTAATTCCCAGGTCCTAAAGTAATGGTTACCTTGTTGAGTCCAATGGGGTCAGGTTGTTGATTCATCCATCATGCCATGCCATGCCCTCCTGAGCAGTAAAGCTACACCAG